ATATCTTGTTCCAATCGTCCAATATCGCATGGTAAATTATAACGGTTTTTTAAATTTTTTATTGATTAATTATTTAGCTAATTAATAAAAATATCGAAAATCGGGCTTCTTACAATTGTAAAAAAAGTTCTACTCTACAATTTTTATAATAGGTATTTTTACTGTAAGCCACTTCAATAAGCCGTATTACTTGAATTACGAAACCATGGATTTATGCCATATTTTGTCTACTAGTGCGCCCTCTTAAGTTGGAAAACATAAAAAATACACTTATAAAATATATATAACTAAATTATCTCAAAATGAAAAATCTAATATTTAATTCCAAATGTTTTCATTATTTTTGCTGAATAAGAGTGTACACAAATTAGACAAAAATGACTACCTAATTAAAATTTATAAAGATGACAAAGCTATTTGAACTTCACAAGTATTAATTTTATTTTTTATTTTATTAATTTTGACTGTTAAATATATAAAAATAAAAAGGAATAAAATACTTTTAAAAAATATGGATTTATTCTAACTTTAAAATTTGGTCATGTTTTTTTTACATAATGCATATTTTGAGTTTATAATTTAAAAATGTGAAGGCATATTGATATAAATACATATTTTCGAACTTTTAAGTGCATATTTTAATGCATATTTTGACAACTTTTAGTGCATGAATGCATGCTTATTTATGCATTTTTTAGTGCATGAAGTTACGAGCCCTGCTCATAACTCACTTAAAAATTCAATTAATGTAAAACAACTTCCACCAAAACACTAATAATGTTCTTACCATCATGTTTAATAATAGGTCGATTCACTCTAATTTTTAAGCTAACAACATAAAACTTGAATTTCTGAGCGTAAATTTGGTATGTTCCGCGTTTGTAAAATGGAGACAACACTTGCGGGTGTGGCGTCCTCTTAATATAAGGAAACCATTGTATTTATTTATGTTATGTAACTATTATTTATTTTATTATTTAAACTAATAACCTAGAAATAAGTAACAGTTGAAGCTGTACCATGAATAAAAAAAAAAAAAATAATATTTATTTCTATAGTTATTAAGTTCACGTAGACTATAAACGTTTGTAATTGAAGCCATTCTATCGAAATATATAAAAATAATAATAATGTAATAGATACAGCATTTTCATTTTTCATCGTCTGCTTACTCATGCTGTTGATTTTAAAATACGTATGCTAGCCTCACCCGATGTTACACTTTGGGCAAACGAAAATATTTTCATTATCTCACTAGGTACCTAGTGCAGTAGTGCGTCACCTATATATAACGTATAATATTATATATACGAGTCGATGTTGGTAAGTGATTAATGAAGGATTCTGGATTTTATCTCAGTTGGAAGGTTACTTTTCTATATACAGGCAGTATACGACGTATTACAGTATATCATTGATTAAATATATATTTAATCAATGAGTTTATTATTGTCTTTATTTTGTACTTATTCCTCGCTCTTTTCTGATATCGTTCAGGATTCGATACGCCAGCATATATATAGGTTCAGATGAATTGATATTTTCAATCTCTGTACCTACTGCTGTAGTTAACGAAATAAGGCTATTGACTCTTCGCACAACAAAAACATGTCATAATATTTATAAGCAGCTTAACAGCCCGACAACAGCCATTCGAACATGACATCAAAAGCACAACATATTATTCTTTTTGTATTTTGTGTCTATAAAAACAGTCGTGTACCTAAGTATGTCTGCAAATCGAATAATATCATCAATACAATATTATATTGTTTACCAGAAATTGCATCGTTTCAGTTGTATAATATTTCCGTACACGATTGCTGTTATTATTGTAGTTATTATTATATAAGTGTTGCATACGTAATAATGTCATGGCGATGGAATAAACTGAGACTCGTAAACTGCAGCTGACAAAACGTTTCGGAAGCATTGAAAAAAACATATATATATATCTATATATTTACAACTAGCTGATCCCGTGCACTTCGTTTCCTGTCAAATGTACCAACTCTATATAACTCAAACTTTGTTCAATTCGTTATTTGATATTCGGTGTATGGTGTTCAAAATTTATCTTAACTTTTCCGTTGCCCTGAATAAAAATTCTGATTCGCAGCAGTAAATTATCAAGTAGGCAATCTATCTGTGGTAGATCGCGGACCCCGTGCTGTTTGTTCGTAACTTTATAGTTCAACTCTAAAGTATCAAAGTTATACCAAGTACCTATGTCACTGAACTCCTCCTAAACGGCTGGACTAATTGTGAATGCCGAGTCTGTCCACCAATATTTCCTCCTCATCCCCGAAGACGTAGCATTGTTTTATGTACGTAACTTGTATGTGAGTATAATACGCTCAATATTTACGTAATTGCGATACATATAATATCCAAACACAGCGTACAACAAAATTAAATGCATTGAATGAGTATACTGATTTCACGGAAACCAATAATTATTATTACCTATAATAGCTTTAAAACCCATGGTGACTATTTATAAACAAAAATTTCCACCGTAAATCTCTAAATCCCCGTTTGAGCACATCCCCTGGTTGGAACTAGGGGGGTGATTTGAGAATCTAAATATCCGGGGTATCACCCAAAACCATAAGTACAAAGAAATTCATTCAAATCGGTCCAACCGTTTAGGAGGAGTTCAGTCACAACACGCGTACAGTACCTATAGATTATATATATAAATATATATTTATTTTATATATTATATTGACAACAAATAATAATACAAATCAACAAAGAAGCCCGATTAACCAATAGCAACCAATATAATATAATACACTGTTGAGCTACCGTTGTATTTTTTACATCCAGATTTCCTACTTTTCCGGTAGGTTTATCCTAAAATTTTCTTTCGTAAAAACGTTTTCCTGGCAATTTTCCTGGCAACTTAAAAAAATTTTGAGCCAAATCGATTCAGCTGCTCTCAAGATTTGCGCTTAGCAACACATTCATCGATTCATTTTTATATTATAGATAGAATATATTCATCTGATACTTATATAGACTACCTATCTATATGACTATATATAGGTAGGCGTGTGCACGTAATTTAAAACGTCTTAAATGAACGTCGTCGGTACATATTGTGTTGTTAGTAATGTTATTAATGTTTAAACAGTGAACAGTGAATTTAATTTCATATATTACTCGATTTCGTGTCGACTTCTATGAGATATTAAATTAAATCGTGCAAACATTTTAAATATTTGGCGGGGTGGTGGTTTAACGATGTGCACGCAATATGTTTTTGGACATTTTTCAAATCTATACGATATATTTCCTGCTTTTTTCGGACACTATTATCGTAATATGTCTTGTGAAAAATAATAAAAATTCTAAACGTTTACATTATAATATACATTTGCCCGATGCGTAATATTTTCCGTCGACGTTCCGTAGTTTATTATATTATTATTTTGACTCCGAGCTGTGATGTCAAAACTGAAAATACAGTAATACACATCACGTGGCCTTTGATATTACACTCAGAGGAAGTATATGTAATATACACGCACCTATAATATAATATATATCTACATTATATTATATTATAATTTGATGGTCGGTATAATATTAAGCCTACCTACCTTCTATTTAGACGTCTGCGGCGCAGCACACTTCAAACAGTGAGATTCATAGTTCGCAGACATAGACGGTCTATAAATAACACTGATCAAATATCATGGACGCGAGCGATTCACGAGTGAACATCCTAAAGCAATATTTGTATACCTACGTGAAAAAAAATATATCAATATTTAAATACGCGTATGATATTATATTATATTTCGTATCAAATGTTAAGAGAATAATAGTAACAGTTTAATTATTATGTTCGTCGTCTATAATAAATAATAATATTATAATAGTATAAGGGACGACATTGTTTAACATAATTATAATTATTACTTATATTATAGGTACCTATATACCTAAAGTGTATGATCTCGGTTGATCGTGATATAAATTTGACTAAACAACTTAAAAACATGACCATCACACATGAACAATTAACATAATAATATAATATACTATATAGGTAATAAATTATACATTTTACATATATATATAATTATATTAAAATCTGTTTTTTTACTTAATATAACTAAAACCATAACTATATTTTAATATAATATTAAAAAACTATAATACAATAATATAAACGTTTGGAATGTTACAGGACGCGTACAATTCTACATATACAATAATATAACACAACCTTAAAGCTTATGGACATAATGTTTCCATATCATCTTAATGTGTATGGAAAAGAAGAGGTGTTCGTAGGTTCTATTGGCATAGTGCTGGTATCCTGATCGAAAATCGTTTTGCGTTCGTCGCCACCTCTGCGTAGGGCATGGATGGTTATATACGTTTCGCGGTTGGGTGGCGCTCAGACTTAACAATGATTATAATATAATAAAGACACGACACGACGGAACAATGTAATATATTATACGACGGCAATATTGTATAGTATTATCACGGATTCGATGCGAGTCTAACAATCAGATGATTACCGTCGTAGTATCATCTCATCGTCATCACGGGAGCACGGAATTAATGTGTAAATAAGGACAATATCGCCACGACGCTATTATTACAACAGTGAAATGATTTATGGTGTCACCCGTACACTATTTTCGAAGGGGAGGGGGGCGAGGGGCTGACAATCTATAGAGGGAAACACATTGTAATAATATTCTATTATTATATATTATTACAACCGTTCGGCAATCGGTAGATTCTCGCTTCAATCTCTCGGCGACACAGTTTTACAATCATGCGCAGTTTCCTGGGAGTAAATCTTTGAATGCGAAGGTCGAGCGAATGGATCCTTTAAAGCGCATCGTCCTCTGCTCGAACGACGATGACTTTCGCCACCTCCGTGCCGTCATCGTGCCAGGAATCGGGGAGGGCGAAGGGCCTCACCCTCCTCCCACCATCCCATTCCTGAGCCGAGGCGGGCGTCACGCGGGTCACACGAACGTTATGGCACCGTCCTTGCAGTAGTCGTCCGACTTGATCAACGGTTCGTTGACATCGTCCATGGCGGACAGTGATGACACGGCTGTCATCTCCAGACAGTCGGCCGCCATCGGCGTGACCGGCGCCGAATTGACTCGAGGGAAGCCAGGGACCCTGACCGCCGGGGCTTGCAGCAACGCTCCACAGTTGGTCGGCCGTTTGCCAGCTGCCGTCGGGTCCGATTGATCGAAATGATCTATGCACGGGCACGACACGCTCAGGTGCCGGTCGCAGCAGTATTCGTCCTCCTCCTCGGCAACGCCTGACGGCCGCCTTCTGACCGGGGTGCCATCGTCGTGGTGCATCGCGAACCTCAACTTCTTCGGCGACTCCAAACTGCAACACCTGGGAAGGTAGATATAATATACAGTCATCGATATTATCATTAAAAACCATAGGTCTATAAAGAATTTATTAATGGACTGATAGCAATGAGAGGGGATCAGGGGGGAGGGGCTATGAGCTTGGAAAAATATAGCACACAAAGTAGACCACATCTATACCCATTAACAAGAAGAGAAAGACAGAACGAAATTTAACAACAAAGATAACAACGTCATTAGAGAGAGATAGCATAGGTTCACTTCACTTTCTATCATATTATGCATAGGTACTGATTATCTCTTTCTGGAAATGTAGGCACTTGACAATCAATGGGGGATGCGCAGTCCATTCATTGACTTTCTATGTAAAAATATTATGTTTTGATATTTTATCACTCCACAGGAGCTTACAGAGACTAAGCCCCTGTATAGAATATTTCCAATGACCTATTAAAAAATCTGATCGTCTACATAATAAATAGGTAAGTATATTATAATGAAAACTTAAGCTTCATAGCAAAAAAAAAAAAGGTTAAATTTTGATAAAATGCCACTCGATATCCTCCAATTATCCTCGTGTAGGGTCATTCAAACACTCGACGCAGATTATAGACTTAATCACTTGAATTCTCCATAACGTTTATTGCAAAAGATAATTTGTGGTACATATAAATAGAGTTGGTTTTTATAAAATTATTATAATTTATTTTATTATAGGCACTGGTTATAAACTTATAATAATACGCATATTATGTAGAGCTCGTTAAAAAGTAAAAACTAATAAATTATTCATTTAATAGGTAAATGGAACAATATATATTACACGTGTTTGGAAAAAAAATTATTATTTACGATGGACGTTGAATGATAAAACTATTTTTTTTTTTTTTTTTGGGTGCGCTTTAATGGAAAACGTTAATGCGTTTTGTGACACTAAACAAAAACCCTTATCGTTGTACACCTGTTGAACACAAATTAACTTTAAAATATAAATTATGTTAAATTTACGACTTTCCGAAAGCTATTATAATATAATCCGTATAATAGAATATAAACTATAATATATTTTACTCGTTTTACCTTATAAGAAATTGTATGCATAAAATGTATAGTATTTTTAATTAGGCACCGAGTTGTTCACGACTTAATCTAAAATTCTAAATAAGTTATAATTTTTTGAATATACTCTTAGATGCCTATTTAATAATATTATTTCGTCAACTGCAGTATACACTTTCTAAACATCCGCTCAAATTTTAATTATCCGTTGAATACAATATTGTTCTCATAAGAAGAGTATTCGTCTTTCAAAAAGTTTTGAATTGAAAAATTAATCATCTCAATGTTTTTATTCTATAGAGATGTAGTTACAATACACAACACTATGGTCTGAGATATTATAATGGAGTAATCGAAACACTACAACTTTATAACCAGCTATACACCATCAAAATATATTTACGATCAAAGTTATAGTAAATCACCCGACATGTACACCACGTGAAGGGTTCGTATGGAATAATATAATATAATAATGGCCAACAAAATGATTGATGCATCTGTTAATGGCGTCTATGCGTAGTTGATTCGAGTGTAAATCCATGTTTTTAAAACAGTCAACATAAAAATATTTTAGGTAAAAAGTCGTAATCTTATATTTTCAGGAAACCCCTGTACGCGTAAATATTATGGTAGGTATGTATTTCATGCTAAAATCCTGGCCAAAACCATATTATAACTCTATACTGATTTCACTCAATCATATTTTCGCGCCTGCTGAGTGTTGGTAACATTATATTTTATAATACAAACTAGGTCGTCTATCTCCACTCCAAATACATGAATAATGTAAATCAAATAATAATAATAATAATATGTAATAATATAATACTCTAGCCATATGCGTGTTATTTCCATAATAATATTATAATTTATCGATGCATAAGACCGTGAACTTTAAAACTAACACCATAAATACATGACAATATAAAGTTACTGTGAGTCTCTTTTAAAATGGTATGTTTTCTATTTTTAAGCGTACAACTACAGTTGTCACTACAAAATTCCATTGAGACGTCATTTTTGTTCGGTACCGTTGTCAGTGTTATGCAAGTAGACCCATAAATTCTCTTTTTGTAATTTGAATATAATAGAAATAACAAATCACGGACTGAAAATATTCTAATACTAGTCGGGGTACCAAAAAAAATTAGATAATAAATAACAGAAGACTGTGACACTTGTACCTATAACTTATTTTAATCTAAGATTTGTTTTTATAGTTAGGGAGCCCTTTGAATTTGAAATTTTAAAATTAAGTTAACAAATCTTTAAAACAAATTAGGTACCTCGGTAAAAACCTTGTGAGTAAAAATATAATATGATCGCCACAATATTATTATAATAGTAATATGATACCGTAAAAAACATGATATGATACAAAACGATCAAAGCGCACGCGCATAACGTAACTTACCTGGACAACTGTCCGTTCATCGTCGTCTTCGGGACCTTTAACGAGCTCCGTGGCCCATCCTTCACGCTCTTCTGATGTCTGGACGACTTGCGGTGCTTGCTGCCTGTCTGCTGCTCCCGGCGCTGGGCCCTGAACTCATCCCTCTTCAATCTGTGCAGGTGGTCCTCGCCCACCAGCCAATATGTGCGCACGTTGCCTTTGCCCTTCATCTCGACCAATCCCCGTTCGGTGGTCTGATAACCACCCAGCCGTTCCAACAGAGTCCGGCATTCGTTCGAGCAGTGGATTTTCAACGCTGAAAACCGCGAGCGTGTAGGTTACAATATTATAATCAATGTAAGATGTGCATTATACGCTGGAATCCTAAGGTCAACATTTTTACTCAAAAATTGTCTGGTGTTATGTTATTTATGTTACTGACCACACTGTTGCCCCTCAAAACCACACTACATTACAAATAATATAAGAGTTAGTATTTACCAGTAATTAGTCAGTATTTAGAGGTAATCGTTTCGAATATTCCCTTAGACAGCGAAAAAATAACAAAACCGTACATACAAAAAATTCAAAAAAAAAAATTGCAGCTATTTAGCTCTCTATATCATTACCTATTATTATTTTTAAGTTCTACGACATAAGCATTAATTTAAATAAATAAAAATATTATCAAATTAAATAACGAATTTTTATTTTTTGCAATATTTTTAAGTATATGATACGGTATGAAAAAATGTACTGAAAATTAGGATTAAAAAGTATTGGTAACAACTAATAAAACTACCTAAGTATGATGTAATGGAAAGTAAGTTATACTCGACGGGGAAAACAAATTCTTCAAACAGCAGCTGTTTTCTGGGTTAGACCTATGATGTGCAGGGAATACTTATCACTGGGTGGACGAAAGTTTTTACTATTATTATTCAATAAAGGTAAAAAAAAATAATAATAATAATAATAAATCTAAAGCATTTACCTTGTCCGGTGGATTCCATTCGACTGGTCGTATTTACTGTATCACCGAACAAGCAATATCTGGGCATTTTTAAACCAACGACTCCGGCACAGACTGGACCTTGATAATTAAACGGAAAACAAAATTAGGTTATTAAGGTTACCAAATAAAGTATTTCTACAATTAAAAACACTATTGCAATAGTTCCATGAATTTAAAACTTAAATGTTTATAACTAATAATAATACAGTTATAAACGAAACATAATTTTAGCAAACGTAATAGTCGAAATGGTCAGGTGGTACAAGTTTAAAAAAAAATATGTTAACTGTAGAGTATATAATAAAAAAAACAAAATGGCTAAAAACAACAGATGTACATTACTCATACCTTAAAAAAAATTTTTTTTTTAAGTTACGCACCTCTTTGGAAAAAAATATTTATTTGCGTAGCATCACATAAAATTAATTTTTGACAAAAATATAATATAAGTACTCTACTATATTACTAACCGGAATGAATCCCTATTCTAAGTCTAAGGCTGTCGTACGGCCTATGTCTAATTTGAAATTTCTTCACGGCTTCAAGCAAGTGTAATGACATAGTAGCAATTTCTGCGGCATGCATGTCACCGTTTTTAATAGGTAAACCACTCACCTAAAAATGAAAATTGTTAAACAATATAAAAATAATAAAATACGTGTGAATCGACAGGTATGGGAAAATTGCAATGCTTACCACCATATACGCGTCTCCGATTGTTTCTACTTTGTAAACATCGTAATTCTCAATTATCGAATCAAAGCACGTATATAGGTCGTTCAAAAAATCAACCACCTAAAAAAAAAAACACAAGAAAGTTGAGTACATTCCGTAGTTCAACGAGACCACGGCGAAACGTTTATAGATAAGTACTTGAAAAGGAGTGCTTTCTGCAGACATTGATGTAAAACCCACGATATCGCTGAAGTAAATTGTCACGCAATCAAAATTCTCTGCTTGCACTTTATGTCCTCTTTTTAGTTGCTCAGCTACGTACTTCGGCAACATTTCATATAGCAGAGCATCTGTCGTATAAAATTCAACGGACGAGTGAAATGCATTTTTAAAAACGTAATACTATTTTACCTGTTTTTTTCTTTTCCTCCACAAGTTGGTCGGTTCGTTCGTCAACCAACACCTCTAAATTATTAGCATATTTTTCCATCATGGCCATCATATTGTCAAAAATATTTGGTCTCCTAAAACGTAGGTATTTCAGTGTTTGTATTATAAAAAAATTGAAAAATGTTGTTGATCAAACTATTTACTGTGGTAAATTATTACGGACAAAATGTTACACAGGCATACAATATATAAACTTACTAAGTATTTAACTTATATAGTATTATTTGAACCGAAAAAAAATGTTATTCAACTAACTTACATTCCTTTTCGCATAGGTCTTAATTTAACTCTGATAGTCTTAAAATCTGGGCGGTCGTCTGGATTCTCTGCCCAACAGTCTTCTAAACAGTCTCTGACAAAATCAAAGTTATTTTCTAGTAATTCCAATGGTGGTCTGTATACAAACGAAAAATTGTCTTTTATAAATGTATACGAATTAGTTTAATTATATTATTTGAATAAAACGAGAATGTAAGGTTTAATATTACTTTGGTAGTATTAGAGATAAAATATTACCTAAATGGATTTGAACCATCTTGTTGTGAATAATAAATAATTTTTCTCAAAATATCTGACACCCCAAGTCCGTGGTTCTCTCCAAAAGGACCTTTACGGCTATGCAATTCATAGAGAATAATAGAGAATGAATACACATCTCCTTTCTGAGTTCCGAATGATATTTGAATAGAAGAGTTGTAGCAACGCAACAGCTCCGGTGAGATGTATAAAAGTCCTAAAGGAAAGCTTTATGAGAATTTATAAAGGAATATATTTTGAAAAATATTTAAGGATAGGCATTTGGACTTTTTTGGGGTAATTCATTTGTCATAACCCCGAAATATGTATTTCGATTGTCACTTCAACACCACGGGACTACAATATATTTCAAATTGCTCTAGCGAGACAAACATAATATAATTATTTTGATTCTAAGAAGTTGAGAAATAATTATCCAGTTCTCATTCTCAAAATTAATAAAAGTAACTTAATGTATTTTTAATATTATGTTTCTAATTTATAGTTATATCATAACTATACTGTGCTTATCAGCTACTACACACAAATGATGAAGGTACTATTGTAGGTATTAAAAGATTGATTTGTTGTACAAACACAAATGTAGTAGATAAGTGTAATTTTTATTTATTTTATTTATATCAATAAATATATTGTACTATGGTATAGTTTATACCACAATAATACAATATAGACAATAAAAAAAATTTGACGCTACATCATAATTCATAATATTAATTAGGTAATAGTAATGTACGACCAGTTTGCTATTAAATCTTGGCTGTACTTATAAGCCATAAATATTTAAATCTGGCAATAAAGTACTAATATAATTTAGGTGTTTATGTCATAATATTTATTCAGTGCCTATGTTATATTATCGTAGTATAAAGACACATAAATCAATATTTTTTATAAAAATAAAATAAGCAAATATTACACTTATTAAAAATATTCGAGTTTGAACAACACAAATACAATTTCAATCTTACAATACTTAGTTCCCAAATTATTGTCCTTTAATACCTCTTGAGTACCTAATTTAATCAAAATATAATTATGTTTAATAACATAAATATAAATTACATTATTTTTCAAACTACATTACATTTTTTATTTATTAATCTGAGAAAAAAAGTTGGATTGTTATTATTCTCGGTATAAAATAAATTTGATTTTTGTTTCTCCTGAACAATCTACTATTTTATAGTTACCTACGTGGTATTAAAGTGACAGCCGTGATATAAAAAAAACATAATTTAGAAACATAATATTATATGGATATGTCATAATATATTTTCTACATACGTATTAACGTGTACATAATATTATACCTTCACACTTGCAATCCACTTCATCGTCCTTTTGAAGTCGAAAGTCGTGCTGTAGAAAATGATGAGGAAAGTCTTCCGATTCCTTTTTGAACTCCTGAAGACCAAAATCTGTGAGTTTCAGCACCCAACGAGAATCCACTAAGCAATTGGACGACTTCAAATTTCCGTGGTATCTTAATGGGGAATCGTGTAAATACAACATACCCTGTGGACAATCATTAATGATCAAATAATGTATTCTTTAGATACGGAAATATAAATGATAATGTATAATTTACCCGAATTATATCGGCTACCAATGAGGCGACAAACATGTTATCCAATTTCACATCTTCGTTTTCTAAAATATCCTAAAAGAAATTTTAAATTATAACAACCTATTGGTTTCACCAAATCAATTGACTTACTCACCTTCAAGCTACCTCTATTACAATACTCAGTCACTATACAGATATTCGGAGGGTCTGTGCAAGCACCAATGAATCCGTTTAAGTTTTCGTGTCTCAAATCTCTCATCTGAAATAACAATTTTTTATCACCTCATAATTTAATGGATGTATACCTATAGTTGCATAAAAATTGAAAATGTTATCAAATTAAAAAGATATTTTGTTGATCGTAAAATGCGGGATATTGTATTCAAGTAATATTAAACTAAGGTGCGTAAAGGTACATTAATCTTTTGGCATATAGGTACTATATTCTAAATACTATTAACTATAAGTAATGTGTATAATATACAGTGTGATCACGATATTAGGTACCACTGAATATCTCAGATGGGTTTTTTTGTATTGAGATGGGGTTTTGGGAAGGTGATAAGGAGCACTTAAATACATATTTTCAGACCAGTTTCAAATTTTTACCTCACTCGGTAAGCGCATGCTCAATACGACTTACTTTTTTTTAAAGGCAACTCCAGTTTTTTTATGCAGATTTGGGTAGATTTTTTTTTTTAACATTTATTGTATAAAAAGTTTTTTCTATTTTCAAAACTGACCAAGTTTGAGTAAATCAAAAATTGAATTTATGCATAATAATATGCGTTTAATGCAATCTTCATTTATAACCACTGGAAATAATAAAATAAGTGCCAAATAAATATTTAATGGGGGACGGAGTGGCCGAGCGGACTAGGGTGTCAGTTGTGACGCGCACCGTCGCCGGTTCGAACTCGCCACGGCGGCATTTTTCTTCGGGCAGCCACGGAGTCCGGAGAGAGAGGCCACCATCCCACACCCAAGAATGGCAGATACCTATGGGTATTAAAAAATTCTGCCAAAACAAACACAAACGTGTTTAAAACATAGGGTACCCTCAACCCAGTTCCTCAGGCTAATGACCTCAGTTGTCGAAGCCTCAACCCAAAAAAAAATATATAAAGTGTCCTAAAATATGAAGTTTATGTTGTTTTTATTGTGATTAGGGTTTTAGTTTGTAATAGATTTTCTGACACTATTTAATTTAAATAAGTAGATAGGTACCTACCCTAAATCGTTTATAATCTTTTTACCGTATAGTAGCATGTTAATACAAAACTAAATCATGATAATCTTAACGGATGTTTGCAATAAAACTACATTTTGATGATCTTAACGGATGTTTGTGTTTTGTAATTAAAGCAATATCAACTAATATTTATTTATTCAAATACGATTTAAATATTACTTACCACTTTAAGTTCTTTTTTCATAGCTCTAGTAATATCAATAGACTTCTTTTTCACGTTTTTGATGGCAAACACTCGACCTTTATAAATGCCGACTGCTGTGAATATTGATGAGTAACGAAAATCCGCATCTGGGTTAGAGCTTAAAGAGACTTGGCTAGTCCGAATCAATGGATGCAAAGCCTTAAAAATACGTGATGAAAATATTATTGTTTGACCCTTTTAACCATATATTAAGAAAAGCGTGCTGCTATCTAACGGTTACTTCCGTTATGTTTAGCCGTAGGGTTGATTTCAGAAAGTTAATCGCTTGTGCACACTGCACATACAATTTCGTTTAAAGTGCCTACTGCTAGATTACGCCTTACATTTGACGAGGGTTAAAACGGATACGCTATTAAAATGCCTACCATGTATTAATATTATAGTATTTTACATGACGTAATCCAGTGAAAATTAGTAAATGTTTTGAAATAAGAATAAAACGACTTTCAGGATGGGTACGCCTTTGTCATATAAGTTCTCCGTTGGGCGTGCCTGACACATTATTATACATTTAATACGTCCATGCTGGGCAGTGAATCATTGTGAAGACGATTAAAAGTTCAAAATTCAGATTATCCAGTTGCATGTGACGAGACACTGTATACTAATTGAGTCCCTATACCTGAACGGGAAAAAAATAATGTACTAATTGAGTCCCGGGTACAAACGAAACATATACTAATTGAGTCTGGGGTTAGGAAACTAATTGTATACGAATTGAGTCCGAGGATTATTTTGAGTAAAATATAAAATAACCATCCAGAGTCCAGACACAGCGAAAATTATACCACACAGCCGTGCCGCCCGTCAAAAGCCGGTCCACACGGATATACCTATATATTATATTATATACATAACATTCATATCATTTTTATGACTTTCGTCAGATAATATATACTCTTTTTCACGAGAGAAAGGTAGCGGCGGCCGACCAAAACGGGTCCGCCGCCGCGCATCCCCCACCAACTATCAGTGGTAAGCGTGATCACGTGGTCGTTCACGCACCAATCGAATCATTTTACATGCGCGAAACGGTACCGTTCTCTCGTGAAATAGAGTATAGTAACATATTATACTATGGGCCGGGAATTTTAATAATTAATTCAAGAAATTGTATAAAAGAAAAAGAAAAAGAAATCAGCCATCAAATGTAGCTGTTTCAATCGAACACAATAAGTAGATTTGAATATGTACAATGCTTATCCCATAAATTCTTACCAATATAAAAATGTTATTTTATCATTATCTACATTTATTTAATTATACACAAATTATTCATATTATATTATACCCCTACATTATTATATATTTATATTATAAAATATTTAAAAAAAAAAAAAAAAAACATTTTTAACCATACCTGTAGAATTTTTTGTTACAGACAGTCCTAAGTCTTTAAAAATGGGAAGGAAAATGTTTTTTTTTTTAATTTTACGGGACTCAGTTAGTATTAAAACATGGACTAAATTAGTATTATACCTACAATTTCACTGGACTCAATTGGTTACTCAATTCGTCATAAAAGGTTATACTGGGACTCAGTTCGTATGCAGCCTGACGAGATGCTCGATTTTAAATCGATGTGTTAGGCTAGAAAACATTTCTCACTCGTTCGGTATTGCTTTTTTGTATATGTACAACACTTATGATATTTTATTCCATAGCAATATAATTGAGATACTTTCTCGAATATTAACGTAAACAGACTTCGATATGTAATAATATTATAACAACGCATATTGTGCGTTTAGGTGTATCGTGGATGTGGTTTTATATATTGTTGACCGTGACCGATGAATTAACTATTATCAATAGTTAATATATTATATAATACGAGGTAGGTAAGTATAAGAAATAATGCACGGAATAAGCCTTTGAATAATAATGCTAAGTGGATGTTTTAATTAAATATTAAGGAAAAAAACTCCTACAATTTGTTTATCGGCTGCTGTCTCAATAATTCCGTGCGATTTTCTCGGTTTACCACTTAATCGTAAACTCCCCCCATTATAACGGTCAAAAGGGAATTTCGTACGGTCCCATAAACTTTATGGATACGGTCCAAAATTCGAATAAGTCGCAGCACGCAAAACGTAATCAAAACTCTGACGGTTTAAAGACGTTTATTATCTATAACATTCACTGATATTTATATTTTCATCGACAAAGTGTTTTGCAATAATATATTATATTTTGTATTGCCGATTCCGATCGTTCCGGGAGATCACGTGGTTTTTTAATTGAACGACTTAAAAATCATAACAATTGGATAGACTAAAGCCGTCGATTCGTATTCCGAATGCCGTGTATAATATCCAAGGTCTTTTGCCAGAGAATCAATAAATAAAAACATAAAAAAATCCCTTATAATACAATGCTTTATAAACGACGAACAGATCCAAATCGAGTTACTTTTAGAAACGCTTGATGTAGACCACGCTATCAGAACACTCTAGTTTGTCGGCCATTATAATATTATTGTAAGTTTTAACACACATAATATCGCTGATTTGTTTTAGTGTTATTGAAAGTAACTTAATTTTAGAGTTTTGAAAGCTATCCCGTTAGAATGTTGTATACGATATAAGTATACATCATATACATCTGAGTGTAATGTTCAGTAGGACAAATGTTGAATAAAGTATACGTACAGATGTATCTGCAGGACATGTGTTTTACATATTATTATGTTGCTGTTTTTTTCCTTTCCAAACGAAATGTTAAAATATGGTCAAACAAACAATGTATACATTTTGTTTAAATTAAAAATATAATTAATAAATAGCATAATACCTATAGGTTCAACTCGAAATTAAAACTCAATTATATATCATTTTAAATTAGTTGTACTGTACATAGTATATGGATACAGTTTATATCCTAATCAACGATAAAAATATAAATGCATTTATATAGGAGAAAGTATTTTTGATTAAATAATATACTAAAAATTCTACACAGCATGTTTTTTTTTTTTTTTAATATTATTATTAGTTATATTAGTATACCTATTTAAAATATTTGAGAAAAGTAAATTAAAAAAGTCATTAATATGATAATACGAGTGTCAAATAATAAGCTGAGTAATTTTACATCGTGATATTAAATAATATAATTACGTAACACATATTATACTTTTAATTATGTTAATTATTCAAAAAAAAAAAAGAAGATGTTTATCGATCCGTGTAGTATAGCATATTCTAGTCACCAATATACTTTAATATGACTTTATCATATAAACATGATAATATTGTACTACATATTATTGGAAACACCGTGTTATTTTTGTACGACTCAAAATGAAAATTATATTTAAAATTTATGTTTTTGAAATTTGAAATTTCTCAGAGCTAGTTTGTGTCTCGCAAACGTTCATGTTGATTATATTGATTACATTCGAAGACCACTAGCGGAAATCGGGGATGAGGACTTGTCCCTTCAAAGGATTCAACTAGTGGGCTTAACTCCCTTCCCTAAAATATAAAATAAGTATTTTGTTCTTTTAACTATATATCATCAGTTATATTACACAAGTAACAAATAATAATCATAATAGTTATCCAAATGTCTTTTGAACAATTTGTCTTAAAAATCCTCCAAATAATATTATGCAAAATGCACATATTTGTATACATTTTACTACTCAACTATATTTTCTAAGTCCAATAAGCGGGTATGCACAATATTATTGGTGTAGCACCCGAACGACCAGAACTCTGATTGCATAATATAAGCACCGTACTACTGTGCGCTACAGTTCCATAATAATATGTGTAAGCCAAGAGTAATTTTTTTTTCTTGTATTCTTATACAGAATAATAATATCGTTTACTAAAATAATATAATATAATAAGGACCGATTTGTAATCTACTTCTACTCTATACCCCTACTGCGATGTCTATGATATTATATTAAATATATATTGCGTCGAAGCGGATTTCACGCAGCCTATATGTTTTCCTACCCTCGGGGGAATGAAAACGATAAGGGCGAGTTCCCAAGGCGAGAAATAAAGAGAGAGAAAAAAATGTTTCATTGAATTTCGAAATCCTTTTCCCACAAAGCAATGCGATCGTCGGAAACGGTGTCGGCGGAATTTTCCCCGCTGATGCTCACTCTGGATATCTTCGACGAAGTGCTGCTGTTCTCCGTGTCGTTGATCTCGATGTCTTTGTAGTCGACCTTCCACAGCAGGCTGTCCAGCTCCTGTTCGTACTTCCAATTCCTGTAGAACACCAGCGAGATAACGGCCAAGACCAGCAGCAGTGTGCCGGCCACGATCGACAATATTTCCGCAGTGTGCGCTGAAAAGGTCATTATATTGACGATATTGTAGGCTATACCAAACTATAATAATAATAATAATATAATATCGTGGTCGTGCCCAGTGGCGCCATTCTCCCCTGCACTGCCGAGTGGCGACGAGTGTGCAAGATTAAATGCACCGGAGCCTTTTTTGTTTTTTTATCGAGTGGGTGTGTGGGTGTGACACTTCTTGTATCGAGCATTTTCTATAATTTCAGTAGATAAAAAAAGTTTCAAGTGTATATTATTATTATTATAATACAATATATTATTTTTGGAGTGCGTGGGTAAGTAGACATTTTTTTCCACCCCGGTGATTTAAAATCAGATTGGCGCTAACTGCAGGTAGTCCCATTTTATAAGTTGTTACAGCTCCAAAGCTGTGAGTCTATAACTCGGTTAATGCATTATTTTCATGTTTATTTTTACTACCAAGAAGGAATTAAAATATGGACCGAAATTGTCTTTGGTTGTTTACAAGTGCATATCTTATACGAAATTCTGATTTGCATATTTCTTCGAATATTCTGATTTAAGCATATTTTTGCATATTTTAATAGTTATATTATATTCTTAATATGTATACCGCAGCAATATTGACAAAAAAAATAATGTTATTTTCGTATAAAAAATGTTTTTTTAGTTATTATTATTATTATTAATATTATTTATATATTTAAATGAAGGTTTATTTAACATAATATAAGATATTATTTCGTTAATTTTAGGTAACTTTAATCATTAACTATTTCAAATATTATTTTCTCTTTTTAAATTTAAAATGCACGATTCTACATATTATTTTTACATGTTTAAATCATGTTGACTTAATTCATGTATACCTACTTCACCAACTTTAAGTAAATTAACAAGCGGTCGTTTTTAGTGCACTTAAATTCACAGCCTATAGCTGATTACTACTACCATTAACGAGCTGCAATCACCGCGTTATAATAGTTTATTTTTGGGCCCTATAGCTTAGTTGTATTCGTTTCGATAGTTCATCCTATTAACAGATATTAGTAATATAATATTATAATGTATAATGTTTGTAATTTACTGATGCACTTCTGGCCGCGATACCCGCAAGCTGGTTCGGCCACGGGAGGTTTCCCAGAAATCCATTCGACGTTCACCACCAACGTCAACTCCTGTATAAATAATGCGTTTCGTTTCTTTTTTCGTTTTCAATTACGTAACGAAATAAATAAAGACGTTTACCGGGTTTTTGGTTAAATTTCGGGGCTTAGCGAATCTACCAGCTGGAAATAAGCCATATCCTTTGGAGGCGTCAGATTGCCGTTGCCGTGACACCAATGTATAATTTCCTTCCGCGTCACCGTTTTCGTCCATGTACACTCCGTATCTACACAAAGCATGCAATATATATTATAATAATAAATTGTTCAAAATTTCACTTAGAAACACTTAAACAAATTGTATAAGATAATACTGCATACAAGAATAAACCATAAATCTACCGTTGCAACAAGACTATATTATTATTATTATTATTATTAATACTACACATAATAATATTATATATTATACATATATTTACAGTTCATAAATTTGGAAAGCACGTCGCTTATAATAGTTTTATAAATGAGCAAAATAAATTCACTTCTCACTATTACATCGAATCGAATCATCAACATATACCTAAATTCGTATCACGCATGAGTACAACTGCACTTTTACCATAATATTTACAAATAAATAAAAATGCTGATAAAAGAGTTAGGTCATGGCATTGAGGTTGTGGCATTTAAGTTTTTGCAATATTAAATTTGCAAACAATGATAAATCAACTGGATTCGAAAAAAAAAATAGAAACTCATCATCCATAATACTGAAACTATTGTGGAAATCTAAACATCATTTTTCAAAATACGAACTATACTAGATTTCCAATTCGGAATTACTTGAAACGCCTTAGGCCCTCTACCAGAAAAATTATCCACATAAATGAAGTACAGGCATTTATCAAACCAACACACTCACAAATGGTTACATCAAATTTATTTTAATTAAGTACCTAACAAAAAATTACGATTTGATGGTCCATTTTACGTATGAATTGCATTGTATCATAGTATCTATTCCTTAATTCAATATAAAACGGTTTTTGAATTTCATAGTTTCAACTAAAATATTTTATTATAATGGAAGTATCATTATCGTATGTATATTTATCAAAAAAATGAAATAAAAAGAGCTTTAAGCCTATTACTTACAAGTTACATTGAAGTCAAAGTAATCGTTTTTCTGCTGACCCTTGGAAAATAAGAAAACCCATTTTAGGTCCTATTTCAATTTGTTATACATGACGGAAGAGGTAATAGAAATTGTGTGAAAATAAATCAATATAACATACTATAAATCATATTATTATATTTTACTACCTATAAGAGATTTACAATTTCTACAATTGATATTGGCGTAGTGGTTTTGATAGCCTGTTTAGCCAAATATCGAAGTATAAATACGAAAAGATTTAAAGCGTTATAATATACTTAGAAGGCGTGGGCTCCTGGAGCAAATGCATAAATTACCAACACCCACGACACCTAAGGCTCTGCGTACTTAACACAATCAGGTCAGTACCGTTATTAACCAAAATTCTGTGTAAGGTATTCATTACATAGGTATTCATTACGCCTACAATTCGTTATATTGTGCGTATACAATATATGTTTTATTAAATTCAAACACGTGGAAAAATATTTTTAATTTAGTCGTTTGGACTTGAATGTACCTACTAAAATTAATTAAATTATTTTACCACGATATAAAAGAAAAAAAAGTATAGTTATAATATTAAAGAGATTTATTGTTATCTGTTAATAGTATCCGTTAACATCAGTACTCAGATTAATTTAGCAAAAAAGTGTGAGTAAACTGGATCAATGGTATTATAATTTAATTTATTCTTATTTTATGGCGAGCCAAACTCGTATGATGAACTTACGTGATATTAAACGAAAAAAAGGTCCGACTAAATTCCAAACGCACGCAACATTATTGTTATAAAAAAAATGTAATAGCCATTGTCAGAACATCTCACCGATAATAAACAGCAAAAAACAACTATAAAATCGGATAAAAACTAAACAGTGTAGTTAACTAAACTATAGCTATATATTATACTTAGGGAAGAATGTGTGTACGAATGTGCTACAATATGTATATCGTATACGATAAACGTACGTGCCAATTCCAACAATAGTAAACACAAGAACCCAAGATTTACAATAGCGACAATTTTATTTCGATAAGAGATACTATTATAATATAGTTTTCCGAAAAATAAACAAAAAAATTGTTTTAAAAAAACTAGTTAATAACAGTCAGAGATTGTATTACATAGAAAATTACTATAACAGGGATTTTAATACCCTAAAAAAAAAATCCTGACACTTAAAAATATAAAAATATGCTGTACCATGAATAATAGATACATGTTTAAAAATATATTTCTTAGTTTTAAAAATGATTTAATGGAAACGTGTTGTACAATGATGGTTTTTTTTTTGTAACACCTCAGACAATAAAATAGAAGTATTGTTATAGCTTTTTTAATTATTTGTAGATATAAAATCGTGGTCGTTGAGTAGTGCATATTATAATATCTACTGTAAGGGTTCACCTATGCGCCACTAATATGTTGTTCCATCAATATACCTACTTGTTTTTATTTCAATAATAAATTGTATACCTAATACAAATTACAATTTACGTTTATTTAAAAGAAAAATTGTGAAAAATATTCTAAAAACTTTTTAAAAAAAAAAAAACAAATAAAATAGACTAAACGAAAATACCACAATGATCCCCAAAACCACATTTTTCACTTACGGAGCAACGTTTTATTGAAACAACATAAAAAAATTAATGCATCAAACCCAGCCCCATAATAATGTAACGTAAAGGCACTTCAAAGCAGTCCCAAATATTCTACGCACAAATCGTCAACAAATTATTCTGTTATCGTGATTTTGGTTATCCATGTAAAAAATATTAAGTAATGTAGGGAATAATAACGAATATAATAAAGAGAGAAAAAAAATTCTGCCCACTTCCGTTGGTTCCGCTTATGTGTATACGGATTCGAATATTTTATTGATCACACACGATTTGGCCACTGATTTTGTTGAGCGAGACGACATACACGTGTTAACTATGTTAAAATATAACCAACGCATGAATTCGGATAGCATAATAATTATTTATCGGGTTCGTGCGCAGAGTGATTATTAAAATCAGCAAACCATGCCGCTGCAATGAAAAATTGTTGCAAGTATATTATTATTATTATGTGTTTTTATATATCAGAAAAACATTTGTTGTCAAACCATACAACGTCTAGGTAGGTAGGTATATCAAATAATAGAACGTGCAATATTTCGGCCAACCAATTTCCGGTTGACATTTTAATTTTTTGGACATTTTCTCATGTTTTCGGGACAACGCGCGGGGAAATAGTAGATGCAATCAAATACCGAAAAACAGAAATGACATGTTATGTTGTTGCGTGTTTTTTAAAAAAGTATTTTCACAGTCCCTATCATTAAACTTCATTTCGTACGGTATAAAGTTGAAAATTATTATTTATTCGTTATAGGGTAATAATATAATACATAAAATATGTTTTGAAATATGTCATCCATGAAGAATAAATAAAAATATTCAGTATATTTATATCTGCCGTTGTGACGGTCAAAAGTTTTAAAAAGCACGTATCTTGTATAGTTTTCGTATATAGAAACATCTTGAGCGCGATTTTTTTCCCTATCAAACTTTCGCGGTACAAACTAATATTTTTTACTTTTTAACGTGTTCTGCTTACCCCAATGCGCTTTTGTAGTGTGAACCTTTGAATTTGGCCATCATGGCCGAACCGTTCCTCGGATCATCACCGCACTCGATCATCTCCAGCACGCATCTCGCATACAAATGAACCGCGTCGTACAGATACGCTGCCTCGACAGAAATCTATAAAACATTATTATTGCCATGATCAAAAGACGATTTGCTTTTAATAATATTTTTCTTTTTTTTATCGACAAAATTGATTTATTTCATAATCATATATAATATTATTATTGTTTACAAGTGGTGTGCTAGCTGCTTATAGGGGTATGCACAGATGTGTGTTATGGCATCCACTGCAGGGAATAGGGGTGGATTTAACAAAAATTTGCCATAGTCTGCGGAGCGCCGGAGACGTTAATTGTCAAAAATAAATTTCGACAAATACCTAGTGTTTGTATTTTTTCTAATAAAATATACTTACTGATGAGTTGTAACATTATCAGATTACAATTTAATTTCATAATAATATTAGCACAGGGCAAAATGTCATCATCATTTATGTAGGGCTATGTCACTAATTTCGATTACCTATATATTGTACTATTATACCAAGGTTTATGTTTATATTATTTTAGACCATAGTACCGATATTTCTATTTTTCCCAAACTAAGTTTGGTGGAAATGTAATTCAGAAACCACGCAAAACAAGTGAAATTTGACTCAAAGATGATGACATTCATAGATCAAGAATTAGCATAGCAGACAAATCCCAAAGACATTATTGATGAGTTTAAGGATCAACATCATTTCATCTGAAGATTAAAACGTAGCTAAAAGTTATTATTATTAAAACTTAAAAATGTATTTCACATGTAGGTACATGTTGTTATTTTTTAATGTACCTATTACAAAAATTTATAAAAGTTAATAGAAAATTGTGATTCCTGTTCTTTTTAAACGAGTTACCTATTCACAGAAAATATTCCGAGTTATGGAAAAGTTATTTTTATTTAACTATTAAGCTACCTATTTCAAAAAATATTTGGTATTCGCTGCGAAAAATTACAATTATTACACATACACATAATAATATACAATATAATATTATATTAACTGTAAATGCGGATATCCGGAAATGCCATAATGGCCATTATCACACTCGTTGGAGACATTTTATTCGATATGGACGTACTGCAATTATACGGATAGCACTCAACAATAATAGGCACTATAGTGTAAACAAACATACAACAAAACGAACGCATGTTAATTTACTCATTAACAACTGTGTACGCTACATGATTTATTTTCCCATAAATAAACAATGTTAATTAAAAGTAAAAGATGGTTTACAAAATAGTCGTTTGCTTGGGTTACACGCGAATACTGCACGATGTAAACACATTATAGTTAACTGTTTTGGATTTATTACTTTCGATATAGCTGGTACTGAAATATTGAAAGTGAAACATCGTCCGACATGTGTGTTTCATGGTAATTATTATAAGCTTCTAATTGGTTCTCCATTTATAATTATTTGAACAACCCACACTGCAGATTTTGACACGCATAAATTGATAATATATTGAGAAATCGCGAAAACGTCATAACTGTTATAGCCGATGTCATCCGTATTGTTTTGTGAGTGAGCCTAAGGTATATATATGCCTTCATAGTGTTGTCATTATACCACCAAAACGAGCACAATACCTATCCGCGCAGACATCGAGACCTACAGGCTACAATAAAGTTATGCCAGTCACATTTTTTATTGCCACAGCTGGAAACAACTACTACCTAGTGATACTAATCACCGGGATAATTTCACGATATTTTATTACAACTATATCACAATAATACCCGCGGACGACGATATATATCGCGTATAAATAATATATTATAAAGTGGTATGCCATTAAACGTTCGATCGCGCACTAATCACTGCAGCGGCAACGGAGTGAAAGAGAATAATACATATATATATTTATACATATATATATATATATAGGTACCTACACAGTTTGCGGCATTATTCAAATAAGGTCGAGCATAATGCGCCGGTTGAATAAAAAAATCTATTAAATCGTGAAAAAAAAATACTAGATCGTGTATCGAAAATCTACGACGTTTAATGTACTCGTAAATATTATGTCTGGACTTGATTAGCGTTGCACGTGTGCGAACCATTGGAATGGACTAGGGTATATACCTGAAGCTGAGTATATAGCACTACAAATTTAGACTGCCATTGGGTACCGGGTAATAGGTATAAAGTTATTATTATTGTTGTTGTTATTATTTCTACGACAGCAGTCATCGAAAAAATACGCATAAATACGGTCATACCTCTAAAACGGTATAATATAATATAACAGTTCTGCCATATCGATGTGGATCAATGGCGGTATTATAGCTGGTATACAGTATGTCCCTCTAGTCTCGTCGTATAATATAGGTAGTATATAACTACGTTCCAAATCAATACGTCACATAAATTAGTTTTTATAAACGGTAATCGATATGAAAAAAAAAACAGTTTAACGGCATAATAAATTTTTTTTTATCATTGTTATCAGTTGTTGTTGAAAACAAATCAACATAGGTAATAGAGCTATAATATATAATTTGAAAATTACAAAACATTCACCTAAATCGCTCGAAAAGTGTTTTTAATGTTTTAAATTCAGGCCATTTATTTGAATAACTTTTCAAATAGATAACTGTTGAAAAACCCACACTTAAATACATATTTTTGATTTTCCCCGGACGAGGTGCCTGGTATATCATATTGGATGATACTGGACTTGAGGGACATACTGTACCCATATATGCACACAAATATTATAACTGGGTACCTATATAATAACAGACAATTGAACTGGAAGGCGGTTTACAGCCGCAAGCCATGGGTAATACACTTAAATATTATTGTTGACCTTTATCTCCGCAAATACTCGTTCAAATCGTGTGTTATTTTCGGTTCCTATAACGGCAAACGGGTTACCATAAATTCGTTTTCTTTACTTTCGGAAAAATAAAAAATGGCCACACTCGAAATCGTTTTTTTCAACTAGGTGAACACGTTTCGGAACGCCTCCCATACAATTTCATATGCAAGTGTACCTATTGATATAAAATTATAAGTGTATAGAGTATAGACATGTTATAAAATTTGTACGTACGAGGGACATAATAATATTGTGTCTGAAACAATATTAGGTATTTCGTTTTGAAATCCCTGTAAATATATTATTTTAAATTTTACCTACCTAGGAAGATAATGATTGTTAATAATGCGTGTGTCGAAATACTCTTTCGGGTGTGCAGAAATGTAACATTTTTAATTTTTGTGTAGGTACCTATATTACCTACGTATCGTGCAGGTATTTACCACAAAACGTAGGTATTTCGTTAAATCTGTTTGATTTTCTATCTATACGTTGGACGAAACTATAATGCATGATATATAATGGTAATCAGGCGCGTATTTGTTGTGAGTACTACGTTTATACTTGTATCATTATAATATAATGTTACGTAGGTAGTGGGTACTAATAAATTGTTTACAGTGCATATGGCGACGTAATTCTGTATAATAATATCAGCGGTATAAGAACACGACTTTGAGAAAAAAAATATGGAATTATTATGAAAATTAAACATTATTTATTAAGGCATTGCCTTGCGTACCTATATGATACCTACCTATAATAGTGTCAATAAAGATTTGGATTTTATTTTCAATTTAATATTAAAATTGTCAAAGTTCATAGTTATAATGTCTACATACACTGCAGGGATATAAAAAGGTTGAGAAAAGCGGTTATTTATTATTTGGATACAAATATTTTTTTTTAAACATTAATATACATATATATATATTTTAATACTTTACATGGGATACATTGATAAATGTGGCAGTTTGTGTTTGGTAGCTAACTATATAATTTACATATTATGGTCCAGTCGATCGACCATTGTTGTAGTATAGGTATTTCATGTAATATAATATTATATAAATATCCATATTGGCGTTTGCAAAATGTTTATGGGGCGCTGAGGGTGCTTAACTATAAGCTTGATGATAACGGATCACACTCATAAATAATTTTTTTGTTACAAATTTTATTTTGTTACTTGTATAAATAATCTATTTAACTCAACAAACTAAAATGAAATATTTTTTAATAACCACGATACTTACGAATAATAATACTAGATAGCATATCACATATTTTGTTCGAGTCCTATGAATATCAATTCGGAATGTGTTAATTGCTATTGATTTGAGATTAAAAAAGTAGAAAAAAAGAAAGAGACAACACACCCTCCACATAATAATATATTCAAGCTGTCTAAGCAAAACATAATAAATTACGTTAAAATTAAATTCCTAATTTCGTCTAATGACGCAAGACGCTCGTGGTGCTATAATAATAATATATCACCGGAAGATTCATGTTGGAGTGAATAAAATAGTATTATAATCAAAAAATCGACGTGCTTTTTTTTCTTTCTTCATAATTATTCAATTGTACAAACAAAACTGTCGTCATTTTGACGCTTAAATTTCGAACTACAACACTGCACACAATGACAATTTAAGAATCATATTATTATAATTAGGTATCGTTGTATTACAATGTGAATACCTATACATCTCATAATACCTATACAGGTACCATCGTTATATACCTACCTATACTGTCTGCTGGCTCATATATTTTATATATATATAATACTTTAGTTTGAGCAACTACGTTGGCGATAAATCTTAGTCTCCGTCGACGTCGAACGCGGTCCAGACAAATATCCATCAATCTGCTAATACAATATTCGCGTATAATAATATACTTTGTAATAGTTTGTATATTACAGGAATCTCGTTTTCGTATATAACGGATAATCGTTACGGGAAACGATGAGTCACTGACAATAACCTCGGACTTAAAATATATGACGATAGTCGCGTCTGCTCGAGTTTCACTTTTCGTACGTCGTATAGTAATAAATTATCAGGTGTGTATTATAACATTGTGATTATAATGTATACTATTTAAACCAGATGAACGTAATAAGGCTCATTGACGAAAAACGGTATATTGCAGATCAGCATAATATTATATTATTCATCGACGGATTCATCGTTGGTCCGCGATTCGTCGGTATTTCGCAGTTT